GAAATCTATGAAATCTATGAATCTATGAAACCTGATGCTCTGATAGGGTATTTGATGTGTAGAAAGTCTTTGGTATTTTTTTCACTATGTATAAGAATTTCAGGCATCTCACCATTACTGTGTGTATGTAGATTTTTACAGCAATATCATTTGAATTATTCACTTGTTAGGTTGCTGGTGCAATTGACTTTTAGGGACACTACTTTGGACTAAATGTATCTGTTTTGCTGAGGGTTAAAAAAAGTCCCTGTAAGGTATTTTGATAGGCAGACTATGTGCTTTAAGTCTTAAGCGTGTATCTTTTTTTAACAAAAAGTTGTGTTTCAATTGTGGGGTTCCAGTAGAGAAGATAGAAATGAAGATATATGGAAGCGAGTAGCCTGTATAAAGCATGTTTGTCTTGTTACTGAAAGATGGACTGACTCTGTGTGACCTCTTTTCAGACGTTAAAACACTGGTGGAAAGATGTCCGTTTCTCATCCACTTAGATCTAAGGTAAGAAGACCTGTGCAGCCAGTCCTTAAATCATTATGGTTCAGGAATCTTTGCCAGTTCTATTGTATATAGCAATAATACATGATTGTGTAGGATTGCACAACCAGAAAATACTTTGTGGGTTAAATACACAAAAGTTTTGTTACCTGGCATGACCTAATCTGGAGCAGGCAACTAACTTGGAAGATTTGTTACCTCAGCATAAATCATTTACATACGTGCAGGATTTGTTAACTTACAAGTGATCGTAGTCAATGTGTAGAATGAAAGGCAGCATTTAGATGTGTATGGTTTGTAAGTCTAGCATCCTAGAGAGGGCTTAGTTCACCTCTGATATAAATTTGTTACTTGGCTATAGAACTGTAAAAAAAGAAGTGTATTTTGGTTTTGACTTAGTCAATTAACATATTTTGAAATCTTGATGTGTAAAGTAATTGTTTTTCATGGCATGAGTTCTGCTGCAGACTACCTGCCTGCAGAGAAGCTCGTGCTTCACTTGCCCTTCAGTGAAAAATCAAAATCCCTCCCCTACAACACACAAGAAAGAAATAGGTTACTTCCGTATTAAAAAAAAATACTTAAGTAGTAGGAAAAAAAGTTGGTATTCATTAATTTCTCAGTCTGAATTTTAGAAATACTGAATTTACTTCTGCTGAATTTACTTCTGCTTTATACTTAAAACCTATGTCATGTGCTCTGATGTGCAGTGACAGCGTGATGTTGAAGCCTGAGTGCTTCCCGTATTTTCATCAACTTGTCTTTCTACAACATCTGTGTCTTAGCCGATGTTATCAGATATCACCTGCTGCCTTAGTGTAAGTAATCTCTAAATGGCTTTGGTTTTGCTAATCATACAGAAGATACATTAATTTAAACTTGCTTTATTTTATGTTCAGAATTGCAAGTACTGTTTTGAAAAACTTACTGGTATGAGGAATTAGGAATAAGGAACTGAGATAAAATAACTTGACTGCTAGAGCATGTACTTTTGAGAATCCAGACTGGAATCAAAGGTATCTGAGATAATTTTTCTGTGATGTCAGTCTGCACTCATGGAACTTGCTGCTTAGTGCATGCACCATGTCTTCCCTTAATGGAATTGTACTACTTGGTACTTTTTACTGTGAGGTACAGTTGGAGGTTTCAGTCCTGCCAGTGACCAGTATTGGTGTCAATATTAGGCTTGCAGTTATGCAGCAAGGAATGCTGCATAAGGAATGTCCTTTGGAAAAGTTAACAAGAGTTGACAGTACTTGCTGACTAGATGATCTGACAAATTCTTTGCTTTTGTGTGCACCTGTGTCAGATATTGGTCGCCACTCAAACACAGCTTAGTTAGTTGCTTGTGGTTTTTTTTCTGCCTTTTAGTAGTATTGCAGCTATCCATCTTAATCCTCTCGGGAAGGATGTCAATCCTAAGGAAATAATCAACAACAAGAAAAAGGAATCAACAACAAGAAAAAGGTTGTGAGAGGGAGAGGACTATCAAAATGGAATCTGAAGAACCTTTTCTGCAGCAGTGCATGCTGTCATTTATTATAGCTTGTGTGTCTCTGCCTTTCGATTTTGTCTAATACTTGCTTACAGATACACAGTTCACATGATGACTGGGCAAACGTGAAGCAAGCAAGAAGCCAGGGCTGGCTACTCACCAAAACGTTACAAATTGGAGACCAATATTACCTAGGGGCTTGTGTCCTCTGAGCCACACCCCGAAACTTCATCTGGGGCAATTCCTTCCACTTATTCTAAATTTTTAAGACCAGGGAAATGAAAGAGTAGGAAGGAGTTTGTTTTCTCTCTGTGTGACAGAGAACAGCAAAAAGCAAGTTATTCAGCTGGTTTCTTGAATCATCAGTACAGAGAACAGTTTCAATTAAGTATGTGCTTTTAAAAAGTAGGAAGAGGAATTTAGCTTAAGTAGTTACCTTATGTCTAAAAAATTAGTAGAAATGCAGTTATCTAGTTTGAGTATGGACTGCAAAAAAAAAAATTCAGGTTAATGATCTAACTTTTTATTTTTCTCTTTCTAGAGAACTTGGTGAAATTCCAACATTAAAGACTCTTCAGGTATTTGGAATAGTGACTGATAGCTCCCTACAGCTCCTCAAGGAAACGCTTCCTGACATGGAAATCAATTCTTCGCACTTTTCAAGTATCGCAAGGCCAACTGTTGGCAGTAGTAATGATGAGATTTGGGGCATCAAATGCAGATTGATGCTGAGGAATCCTAGTGGCTTATGATCACCTACAATGCACTGGATGTGATGCATACACTGTGTGTAGTGAAGCTCGTTTTGAAGAAAAGTGCTGGAGCACCTTTATTCATAGTACTGTTATTGTAAAAAGCATTCTGACTTGGTCTTAAGCCTTAATGTATATTTTTTTACTCAAAGCCTTTAGAAATCTGATGACCTGTGAGCAATTGTAGAATTTTTTTTTTTTTTTTTTACAGGAAAGCTTTTTTTAAAAAAATACTATGAAACAGTCACTGTAATTAATGTCAGTCTCTAGGAACTGTTGCAGGTTCTGATGCAGCTTTTGTTGCTCTGAGGTGTTCTAAAGGTGCTTTTGATTAGCTCTTCCAGCTCTACAACTCCTGAAATGTATTGCAGAGTTGCTAGATATCTTAATAAGGCTTAAGGAATTGTCCTTGTCTGAGTTTGCAGAACTCTAAATTAATAATGGTATTAAACCTATTTAAATTCTTAATTGGGCAAGATGTACAGTAAGATGAGAAGCTACCCACTGTTTGAGAGGGACAGAGGACTGAGTCTGAATTCACAAAACCTGAAAACCATAAATAGGGGAAGGGATCTCTACACAAAAGCAACTAAGAGACACCTCAATACTGTCAAAGTTAAGCAGCATAAAGGAGCACAGTGAAGTTTTTCTTTAGCAGGCCACAAAGGTGACATCTGGTTTTAGTATTCTTTGTTAGCAAAATATAGTCAGAAAAGCCCATTCAGAGTAAGCAGCTGTAAAAGCAGATGCTGGTGTGTGATATTGTGGTGCTGGGTTTTTTGATTAAATATTACAGAACCTTAATGTAGCTTCTGTGAGCTTCATCTCAGATAAAACTTATTATAAATGTTCTCTTACTTCTATAGTAAGATCTTTCAGCTGCAACTGATAAATTGGCAGAAATCTTGCAGGAGGAGGGCTCGAATGGTTCTAGATCACAGACCAAAAAGAAGACTTGGGACTGCAGTGTAACAATGCTGAAGAGATGCTTTGGTGCTATTAAGAGACATCAATTTCTCTCTTATATAATATCATTTCACTTCATGTATCTGTAACACTAACCACTATGGTCTGGCACTGATTTTTTTTTTTTTAAAGTCATATGAAAAGCTGAGTAACTGTCCAAAAAAAACCCTACCCCACCAAACTATGGATAGGGACAGATAATGACTTTAGGTAAAACTTTGATCTGGGTCTGTCATCCAGGTCCTCATTCATAAGCCTGGAATGTCCAGCACATGTAAGTGGTAGTTGAGAAGTGTGAGGGCAAAACTTGCACCCTGTGTAGGGCATGAATATGCTGCTGCTGTTCCCGTGAATGCAGTAAGCAAGCAGGTGGTGAATTTATTCATGCATGTTTAACGTTAGCCTACAGCATTACTGACAGGGCTGTTGCTTAGGTAGTGTTTCCCATTTCACTCTGAAGAATTAAGAAATAAATACTTGGTAGCACAGAACAGATTAATTACTATGGAAAGATTGTATGAGTACTAGAATTTGATACTTTAGTTTACTTTCCTATAGTAGAGCAAATGCAGCATTATCTTGTTAATCTGTTTTAAGTTGTTTTGGTTTTTATTAAATTTAACAGTAAGTAATGCTTGAGTCACTAATAGGCTTGTGTATGTCCCTTACAAAGGAGTTAATGGGCAACATAGCTTGTGAAAGCTGGAGTGGAGGAGTGTTGGGAGGTTGGAAGATACTGGGTATTCTACTGCTTCACGGTTTGCAGCCTTAGGTTTATGCCTTAAATTACTTGAAAAAAAGTAAATCTTTGCAGCACAGCACTATTGTAAATTCTTCTTTTTCTCCCTATGCACAATGTAACCCCATACAACTTCTCTTGCATTTAATAAAGATCTAAGGAATTTGCTATATTGTACAAAATTACTGATGGATGGGAGAATGTTTTTCCTGACTTAACATCAACTTTGTGTCATGGGTTAAAAAAAAAGACAAGTTTGTCCAAGCAGTGTCTGAACAATGGTGGTTGAGAGGACAGGGTGCTACCACCAATACATTTAATATTTAATAAAGATCCTGTACAGAATTGGGATAGTAGTATGGCTTTAGCTGGAAGAAATAATCCTGAACTTTTTTTTAAATACCAGGTTAAGTGTTGGAAAAGGACAAACACTTCTATTGCAGGTCTACTGGTTATGATAGCAGCTGTAGCAGACAGGTAATGGAAGTTGTCTGGGTAAGATGCAGCACTGACCTTTTGTTGTGGTTCAACCCACCTGGCAACTAAACACCACCCATCTGCTTGCTCCCTCTCCTCCACTCTGGGAAAATGGGGAAGAGAATTAAAGGGAAAAAGGGAAGGAGAATCATGGGTTTGAGATAAGTATAATTTAATAATAATATAAAATTAAAAGTAATGAGAAAATAATAATATATGAATGTATGTATTGATGATAATAATATACACTAGCAAGTCATGCACAGTGTAAGTGCTTACCACCTGCTGACCAACACCTGTCCTGTCCCAGCAGACAATTCTGAAACATATATGTCCTAATACCACAATCCTGTGGAGTGAGAGGTTTGAAGAGAGACAGAGAGAGAAGGTGCACTCTGAGAGACCAAGAGTATGAGAGCCCTCAGAATAGCCAGAGCTGCTTCTTGGTCAGCCCTCATCTATCCACTGGGCATGATGTGTTGAATGGTATGGAATATTTTATTGGCCAATTTGACCCTCAATCCAAAGTCTAAGTTCAAATCATTAGGTGATTTCTGGACCCTTTGTCCCAGCTGTGCTCCCCCCAGCCTGTTGTGCTTCTGCATACTGGCAAGAACACGGCAGCTAAAAAGTCCTTGAGGTCTCAGTGCCAACTATAAACATCAGTGCACTGTCAGCATTCTTCTCATAACAAATAGAGTCATAGACTGGTTTGGGTTGGAAGGGACCTCAAAGATCATCCAGTTCCAACCCCCCTGCCATGGGCAGGGAAACCCTCCACTACACCAGGTTGCCCAAAGCCTCATCCAACCTGGCCTTGAACACTTCCAGGGATGGGGCATCTACAACTTCTCTGGGCAACCTGTGCCAGTGCCTCACCACCCTCACAGTGAAAAATTTCTTCCTTAGATCTAATCTAAATCTGCCCTCTTTCAGTTTAAATCCATTGCCCCTTGACCTATCACTACACACCCTTGGAAAAGTCCCTCTCCAGCTTTCCTGTAGGCACCCAACCTGGAAGGCTGCAATAAGATCACCCCAGAGTCTTCTCTTCTCCAGGCTGAACAGCCCCAACTCTCTCAGCCTGTCTTCATAGCAGAGGTGCTCCAGCCCTCAGATCATCTTCATGGCCCTCCTCTGGAATCGCTCTAGCAGCTCCATTTCCTTCTTATGTTGAGGACTCCAATCTCAGACTAAATCTAAACCAGAGATCTTCCAGCTGCTAAAAAAACAACTAACTGTCCCAGTCAAAACCAAGACACCTTTTCCTAGTTGAAAAAAAAAAAAAAGTTATTTGGTATCTCCAAGCAATCCACACCAAAAACTGCTAGATTGTTAAGCCTCTGCATTTTACCTATAGCACTAAGGCTTAGAAATGTATTTAAAACAAGCTGCATCGTAAGTGAGAAGAAGCTGAGCACATGAAACACTTTTGAAAGTTGAAATAAGGCACAGGACAGCTTCATGTACCTACCAAGTTTTTAATTTTTATTACATAATGTATTAACACCACTTTTTTAAAAAAAGCAAAGAATGACAGGTCAAGTTTAGCAGAACAGTGTGGACTGGCACTAAATGAAAACACCATGGATTTGATTAAGCAGGTAGAAGAGGTGCAGAGTTCAGTGCCAGTCCAGGCAGATTAAATCAGTGTTAAACCAATACTCAGTCCTGTCACAGAATACTGTTTACCAGATAAGTTGTCTGAATTGCAATCCTTTGTAATAAAGGATTCTTGAAAAGGATTCTACAATTCTTTAACAATAAAAGGTAGCTGCTTACTGTTTATCTATTATAGATCTCTGAATCATCCTAGTTATTTAAATCAAGCATTCACCAGAAAATGCTTCAACAGAAGTACAAATAAATACAGGCAAAACCAGTAGAGGCCACTCATGAGTAGGTCAGGTTTCCATTTTGCTAAGTCAGTCAGGAATTTGACTGTGGAATCTCTTACTAAGCCGTAAAACAGATCATACTTGGGGTCTGTAGGGCCTGAAAATACTGCCTTTTAGTCTCAGCATTCATAATAAGGAATGACAGGCATTTTTCAGAGGTAAGCACCCTGATCAGACTAATCAGTCTCCATTAAAACATTACAGCACAAATGTCTGTAATAGGGACACAGTTTCTGCCATAAATTTGTCTGCAGGTGTTCAAGGACACTTTCAATACCTAAACCTCTCATCTAACACAGTGGTAAAGTCCTAGTAAGTCATAAATTAGTGTTAACAGCATTGAGGGGTGGTTTGATTTTTTTTAGTCGGAACAGCATACTGACTACTGCACTAGACAGAGGCACATAAACAATCCTTAACTGGTTACAGGTGGATTAGGAGTAACTAAAACACCTTAGTCTCTGCAGCCGATTTTCTAAGGAAAGATTAGTCTTTTGCATCTTTACCTTTAGACCAGTTTTGCAAACTATTTTAGACAGTAAGAGCTTTATTCTGATAGGTCCTGAAATTAACAAGTTTTGAAAGAGTATTTGGCTACTTTAATTTTCCCCTTCTGGTCTGCAGTCCTAGTAACTCAAGCTGTTAGTGTACGTAACTCAAGTTGCAGCACACTTAAAAGGTGAAATGTACACAAACAGTGATAGCTTATTCAAAAAGCTCCATCAGTATCGTATTTTCTTAGAGTTGAATGGTCTGGTCAAATCAATTTTCTCTAAATTCTGGTTTAGCATGAATACAAACACTTCAGTAGTAGAAGGAAAGATCCTTTATCTGCTTCCTCCACCTATAAAGATCAGTTTACATTTTGTGATTGGCAATAAATATGTAGATTGGCTGCACAGGAGAACATTTCCATTAGACCTGAGAACATCTGTTACAGAAGTCTCTTCATTCAAAACTAGTTTCAAGAAAACTCACTTTCGGAAATAGACCTGTAGTAGACGGGAGAAAACACATTTGTTTCAAGTCATGCAGCAGAAGAGTTCCTGCTGTAGGAATCTTCATTTTGTCAAACTCTGCCTTCTCTGTGCAATTATCAGCACAGACTTTCAAAGGCAGTCATAGTTCACAGTTTCTCTGAAACATTACCTAAGAAGTCACTTCCTTATCCATAATCAGAGTTTTTCCCTATTATCAGCTTGCTTACCTAACTCATGATCAGAGGCATGTAAAATTAAAATTTATTTGCTGCCAATTAAATATCAGTAGAATTCAGCAAAAGACTGGACATTTAAACTTTCTGGGGAAGTTAAAACACATACTTGGAAAACTGGGAGACATACAGGTATTAACTCGTGCTCCATCTACTAGCATCCAGCACATCTCCTGGATGTAAAGAAAACTCAGAACATGATATTGCAAACCATTCAACTTAATAAGGCCAAATATCTTTCTTAATGATAGCCACCTACATACTGAAACCAGGACAACACAATACTGTGACTCAACACCTGCTAGCCAGCTAATCCATTCAGTGAAGGAGCATATCAACATGTTTCCTATAGCTTGTAGGTCTCAAGAAAACCCTTGGGTTTCAAGTCCCTCTCTAGGCAAAGAGAAAATGTAAGACCTATTTCATTCAAGATGTGATTCAATCAGACTTTTACTTTTGATGTAAATCTCCAAAGTAGAAAAAAAATACTGAAGAGCAAAAAAAAATTGTCAGAAGTTGTATGAAACTACAAAGTTGTAAAACTTTTGAAAAGCATACAAAAGGTTTGTATTTCCATTTTATTACATCAACATCAGGATTTACCAAAGTTCTATATATGCTTGCATCAAATTGCTAGATTGACAGTCAAATTTTCTACAAAAGTATACGTATGAAGGTGTTTAGTTTCATCAGTCCCAGACTGTTACTAAAAAACTGTACATCTGAATATTTAATGCTACTCACTTAATACTTGAACTCATCTACTTGTGTTTAAAAATACGTTCTTTCATGTTTGCCTTGCAGGTTAAAAATGCCAATTTTCACTGAAGTTAGAGGTAAGACTTCAGATACAGTTCTTTTACACCAGATGCAAAAGAGGTTAAAATATCAGGCTAATATATCCCCAATCCAAAGGAATGAAAAGCATCTCAAGCTTCCTCCAAATGCTCTTGCATCCAAAAAGGCCAACTCCAACATAATGCAGCATTGTGATGTGCTGTCTGTCTCCAGGAGTTCTCTCTCTGGATCCAGAATTGTTTCAGCAGAAGACACTAAGGTCCTTCATTCTTCCAGCAGAACAGTGCACAGTGCATCCTCTGTATCAATCATTATTGAGGCTATTGCCCCATCATTGAACTCAAAAGATGTTCCTCCATCTACAACCATACATGCATCCCAACAACGGGAACGGACACAGACTCTGCAAAAACCCAAAAAAAAAGTTTTCACAAAATAGCTTAAAAAAATTAAGCATCTGAACAGTAAGACTGGTTCTTGGACATTCCTTGTGTGGGTCAGTAAATGTTTAATCACACAGAAGCATACTTAGAGAAGAATTTAGCATGGTACTAAGCAGTAGAATCCCCCAGCTATCAGTACTTTGTATAGACACTGCAGAAGAGGACTGCAGGACTTGTTCAAATGGAGAAGACTATCACTCCAAGAGTCTGAGAACAGCCTATAACTATTGGAACTGCAGTTTAAGTGTATTCTTTAAAGAAAGCTACTGATGATCCCATTTAATAGTGATTTACGTGATCTTTCACAGAGGAGTTTTCAATTAGTTTATGATTCTAATGTACAGTCATCACGTTAAGACAAACATGCAGTTTCAACTAGCAGCGCTTGAGATTCAAATAATTTGGATAGAAATATAATCTATTTTGTAACATGAATCATTCACAGAGAGAAGGGAAAGTAATTTCAAACACAAAGCTGAAGGTCAACATGCTTGCCAGGCAACATCATAAATAGGTATTGCAGCACATTACTGTCAATATTAGAGTTTGACTACTATATCTTTAAGCTAATAAATTTACATTTAAGCTTATAAAACTTAAGGCAGCTCTTTTAGAGCTGGACAAGACAGAATAAAGCTACTAACCATCATCTTCTTCACTTACCTTTAAAAGGAAGATTAACTTAACCATTGGAATTTATCCTTTCACATATGTATAAAGTGAGAACACTATTAAATAAAGAGATCTCCAAACTTTTTTCTTATTGCTGGATGAGAACCAATAGTTATGCCAGAGCAGCTGCAAGACTGCAGTCTCACGTAGATGTGCTTGATTGTTTCTGACTTAGGCCTTGGACTATACAATGATCTCCAAAATTCAATCAACAATTATCCAGTGACTTAAATTTTCAGGAAGACACATCTTTTACAAATATGAAAAGCTTGGAAGCACAGCTGCAGTGTCAAAGCTTAATTGGCCTGTGCATCACTAAAACACAGCCAAGTCTGGACACTGCAGAGCAACATGGAGCCATGTTCCATTCCTCTATTTCACTCTGGGCAGCTACTATGTCAAATGCCATAAGGAACAGCAATGGGGAGATGCCTAGTATCAAGAGCTAAAGATCAACTGTGACAGGCAGCAAATTCTACTTAAAGGAAAAATGGGCAGATATCTCTCATAGGTATGCAGACATTTGTAGCTCCAGTATAGTTTTTATATTAGATACCATGCTGAGGACTCCAAAGACAACACCTATGGAACCCATGGATGAAAATGCGATTATTTTAACCTCTCCTCTTACCACCTCTTAACATTTACTCACCCTTGAAAAACTCACAGATCCAAATGACTAAGAAACAGTAAACATTTAGAGACATGACGCATACACAGTGGGCATCTAATATCATAATATTTAGTCCCAGTAGCCAGAGATATGCTTTATTACTAGGTCATAAAATGTCATTGTAACACAGATGCGGCTCAAAAGGAGCAGACTTCGGGTCTCCTTCAAGTCAGAGCTCCTTTTGACATTTCTTTTGATATAAAAGGTTGAACTGACATTTAATTAATCATGAGATACTGTATGGTTCTCAATACAGTTATTTTGAACATACAACTAACAGTTGCATGTGTTTATATTTAATTGTGGCAAACTCCAGAAAAATCACAGAATCATTTAGGTTGGAAAAGACCTTTAAGATCATTGAGTCCAACTGCCAACCTAACGCTGCCACGACCACCACTAAACCATGTCCCGAAGCACCACATCCACATGTCCTTTAAAAACTTCCAGGGATCGTGACTCAACCACTTCCCTGGGCAGCTTGTTCAGTGCTTGCCAACCCTTTTGGTGAAGAAATTTTTCCTATTATCTAATCTAAACCTCCCCTGGCACAATGCCAAGTTAAAATGACTGAATTACCAAATAAATTAGTTCAGACGTGCACTTAGTCCAACCTTCTACTCTAAGCAGACCTTACTTCCAAGACACATTAGGTTGCTAAGGGCCTTGCCAAGTTTTGAGTATCTCCAAGGACAGTGATAGTACAATCTCTGGGCAACCTGTTATACTGCCCAATCATTGTCACTGTGAAAAATCTTTCCTTTTTTTCATCAGAATCTTACATCCTATAAAATCATGGCTGCTGCCTCATACTCTGCTCTGAAAAGAGTTTAACTCAGCCTCCTCTGTAACCATCCACCGGTATCTGAAGACAGCCACTGGATCCACCTTGTTTAGTCTTGTCTCCTCCAGGCTAAACAAAAGCACTGCTTGAGTTCACTTGGGGTATAAAAACCCCAAGCATCGCTACAGGCTCGGGGAAGAGTAGCTGGAGAGCTGCCTGGCGGAGAAGGACCTGGGGGTCTTGGTTGACTACCAGCTTGATATGAGCCAGCAGTGTGCCCAGGTGGCCAAAAAGGCCAATGGGATACTGGCGTGTATCAAGAATAGTGTGACCAGCAGGAACAGGGAAGTGATCCTGCCCCTGTACTCGGCACTGGTGAGGCCGCACCTGGAATATTGTGTCCAGTTTTGGGCCCCTCACTTTAAGAAAGATATTGAGCTCCCAGAGCGAGTCCAGAGAAGGGCGACTAAACTGGTGAAGGGGCTGGAAAATAAAACTTATGAGGAGCGGCTGAGGGAGTCGGGGCTGTTTAGCCTGCAGAAGAGGAGGCTGAGGGGAGACCTGATTACAGCCTACAAGTACTTGAGAAGGGATGTGGGGAGGTGGGGGAAGGGCTCTTTACATTGGTGATGGGTGATAGAACAAGAGGAAATGGGTATAAGCTTAGTCAGGGGAGATTCAGGTTGGATGTTAGGAAGTATTTCTTCTCTGAAAGGGTTGTCAGCCACTGGAATAGGCTGCCCAGGGAGGTGGTTGAGTCCCCATCCCTGGATGTGTTTAAAAATAGGGTGGATGATCTATTTAAGGATATGGTTTAATGGGGATTAGGGACGGTTGCACTGGATGATCTCTAAGGTCTTTTCCAACCTAGAAATCTATGAAATCTATGAGTCTCTCCTTCATACACCATGTGTTTTGGCCCCCTAATCATCTCAGTGGCCCTCTCCTGAATTCATACCCGTTTGTCAATGCCTGCATCTCATACTGAGAGCAATGGCACACACCCAAAACTGGAGACAGTTAGACCCTCTTATTCTGTAAGATTGTGCATGGATATAACATTAACAAGGTATAGCACAGCTTCGAAACACTTTCTTCCTGTTGTTATTAGAACAATATTCAAGCCCCTCGAAACACAAACTGGATGTTGAAACACTTCAAGGGAAACTCCTGGATTACTCATACTTTGACAAATACACAGAATTCATTAACTCTTCAGCGACTACTAGAACCAATACTTACTTTGAGGAGAAGCCACGCTGCTGGCTACTTGAGAAAACTCTGTTTACAATAGGTTCTCGAATACTGAAAAACATCTTTGGTTCTTCTGGATTGTACAGCAGGGACTCATTGTAATCATTTGTTACTATAAATAGAGAAATCGGCCATTAGTTTTTCCAGAGAAAATTAGTTATTCTTAGAAACACACCTTCCTCCAGGAAAGAGCAGCTTCCCTACCGAGAGGGAATACCAAGTCTTGCCAAACGTTTAATAGCCTTCACCTGCAAAAAAAATTAATTTTACAGAAGATTTCTTTCCATTCTATTCCATGATACACACTCAACAACTCTCTTCAGGTGATTAAATATTGAGTGTCTCAATAGGAGTACTGAGTGTCTTAGGAGAACTGGAATTCTTCTGAAGATCTATGCATACTAAACTCTAAATAAGTGCTTTCGTACCAAGTCAGACATTTTTCACCAAATGTGCCTAAATAATGTTTATAAGAAAGATTAATATTGCAGAAGGGCTAAAATACTGAAAGCAGTGCTAAGTGTTAGGAGTACAAACAAAATGAACTGGTCAAGTTAAGATACCTTAAAGAAATCTTGCCTTTTTCACTAACCTTTTTGTACTAGTTCCGCGTTCAATGGCATATTCAAACTTCCATGCTTTTTAGCTGTTGAGTCAAGAGAAGGAGCCCCAATTAGATAGGTGTATTTTTATATAAACTTGGCCAGTAATGCCACACTGTTCACTCACCAATCTTAAGGATCTCTTCAACAGCTTGGTGTGCTATCTTGTTAATATTATAGGACCTATACAGAAAAGTAGAAGTCTTGTTTAACAGGCAATACAACTTGGGAGAAAAACAAAAACAAAGCAAGAAATCTTGCATACAGATCATGAACTATGATCGATATGAGGAAGAAAAAGAAATAAAGAATGCTATTAAGTGTGAACTGACATCAGTTTCTTAAAAAAAAAATGCCTTAAATTAACTCTTAGTTTGTCATCTACGTGTGGCTTTGTAAACCTTAATAATCCATTAAGTGAAGTCTTCAGGAAAGAAGAACGTGATACACAGGATGTAGTCTCCTTATCAGTAATCCTCCTGCCTTAAAACCCCAATAATTGCTGATTAATGTCTGCATTAAAAAAATGAAGCATGAGAGTTCTACAGTGTGTTCTTATCTCTTCTATCCACTTCTTGTTAATTAATTTCTTCTGTTAGTTCTCATTTACGGCACCCAACACTTCTTTACAAATTATTATGCCTCTCTGTCTGTACCCTAAGGTTTGGGCTTGAATCACACGACAACTGGTGTATATAGAAAAGGAAGAGTCAGATCAGGCACTTCAGCATTTGCCACACTTGGACGTGCAAGAAGTCAGCATAAAGCCTCAGCCTGAACCAGGCCTAAACAGAAGACTCCCTGCTGCACCCAGGCTCTAAAGGGATCACGTGCTAATCAAAGCCTCCATGCAGCAGCACTGTGAACATCTCAGTTGCTCAGGTCTCAATACAGCTTAAAATCATAGAATTATAGAATGGCATAGGCTGGAAGGGACCTCAGAGATCATCTAGTTCCAACCTCCCTGTCATGGGCAGGGACGCCTCTCAACTAGACCAGGCTACTCAAGGCTCTGTCCAACTTGGCCTTGAACACCTCCAGGGAGGGGGCATCCACAACTTCTCTGGGCATTTATTCCAAAGTCTTACCACCCTCGTACTGAAGAATTTCTTCCTAAGATCTAATCTAAATCTGTTCTCCTTCAACTTAAATCCATTTCTCCTTGTCCTATCAGTGGACACTCTTGTAAAAAGTCCCTTCCCAGCCTTCCTATAGGTTCCCTTCAGGTATTGGAAGGCAGCTATTAGGTCCCCTCAAAGTCTTCTCTTTTCAAGGCTGAACAATCCCAGCTCCCGCAACCTGTCCTCGTAGCAGAGGTGCTCCAGCCCTTGGATCATCTTTGTGGCCCTCCTCTGAACACGCTCCAACACATCTATGTCTCTCTTATGGTGGGGACACCAGAACTGGATGCAGTATTCGAGGTGGAGTCTCATAAGAGCAGAGTAAACGGGGAGAATCACCTCTCGACCTGCTGACCACGCTTCTCTTGATACATCCCAGGATGCAGTTGGCCTTCAGTCCAACCTCAGTCCAGCACTTCTGTCATGGCAGTAAAACACCTCAGACTGCAACAGATGTCCACTATATGTCTATCAGACTACAGTGCTGCTGAGGGTGGTTATCCATGGCTCGCTCTCTTACACTTACTGCTTACCTGCAAGCCTGAGCAGACACTAGCAAGAAACTGAGCTACACAGTCTGAAATTGTTCTCTCTCTCAACGAGATAGCCTTTTATGCAAGGTTTGGCAGCTGAAGGAAGCACTTGGACATTTAAATGCCTCTCAGTCTGAGGAGGTCTGAAATCCCAGGAGAGCCCCCAAACCACAGGCTAAGGAAGGTCACTTCACTGAGGCTTGGTCTCCGTTTAGAGAAGTCGAGCAGTACACACTGAATAGGGCAATGGAGGTGTGCAATCCTGGAGTTTGGTCCCTGGTTCTGAGATTACTCAGTACAGAATGTATAAGCAAATGAAATGCGTAAGAACAGCTCTGAACTAAGACTGTACATTCCCAAGGTACTGAACACTAGGAAAGTTCCCCTAGCATTCTGCCCGTTTCACCCTTGGCAGTCTCCAGGACTAAGTTATGCTGACTGAATACAAAATTCGGAATGACAAAGAAGAGTAAATCCAGTAACCATGGTTACAGCATGAATATTCATTTTTGAATTTCATTAAAAGCTTCAGTTTTAGTTCATCTTAGCCTGCCACATAAATCCAGAGCCTGTTATACAACTTTAAGCTATAAGCACAGCCAGATTTCCAACTGAATGAAGCTCTCAATGTACACGTCTCTCACATCTCAAAACCAAATCGATTAGGCTTACATGCAGTACTGCAACTTGTTTAAACAGAAGTTAAGATAATTCACCCCTTTGATTAAGCTAGCACAGCTCTGCTTAGATATGCCTGTCTTTGTTTAAGGAGAATATTTTGGCAAAGAGACTGTGCCCTTTCAATTAAGTTTGAAAGAGGCAAGGGGTTTGGAAGGAGAATGGACAGCAGATGTGCCAGAGAATGCTTTACACTGTTTCCAAGTATGTTTTGCCATTTCTTAGAGCTTAGATTTTTATGTGTTTTCTGAGCTACTTCATCTACACATTTTAATTTTATCCAACAAGAGTAGTCAGAGATTCCCCTAATATGCTCTGCAAATCAGAGCAGAACCTCTTTCCCCCATCGCCCCAACCATTCATCTCCACATGCAGCATGCAACCTCTTTCACCAAAATTACACCTAAGGTAAACTTCTGTCCCAATGCCTCAGCTCCTCACCCTTTCAACTCTTCTCTCTGTATCTGCAAATGAGGAGTGCTCTGCACTTCTCATATGTCTCAGAGACAGCTTTGAACCACACCAACTGTGAGAATATTTGGACAAAACTGACATGCACTGACTTATCCACAGCCTAAAAGAGTCTCAGTATGGACAAAACTCTTAAGCTAAATAGGTCCCTGTAGCTTATCTGAAGCGGTATTTTATACCAAGTAGAAAGAAGTACTTACCATGCTTTTGATCCTGTTCCAGTACACACATTAAGCCCTGAACTCTTCTGTTTTTCCCAAGGACCATCATCAACAGATATCTCATAATAGGAGGCCCTATGAAGCGAGAATTTAAAACTGGGTTTGCAGGACTTAAAGTTCTCCCTGAATAAGACAGAACACACAGCCTTATCAGGCACATAAAAATTTAGAGGGGCTAGTTTCAAATCTGGATGATAATTTCACAAGCTTTGCACAGTGTTTCCAGTTTGTCAGCCACTTTCAATTCATTGTTTTATAGCAGTTTTTATAATTGACAAAAGTGATTTGCAGCATGAACTTTTAGGTAGTTTTTCTGCAGCCACTTTTCATATTGAACTATACACAAAGAACTGTGGTTCATCTGGGAATAGCTTCGTATACAAGCAGGTTTGCTGGACTTATAAATCAAACTACAAATACATTACCTTCCTTGCATAATCGTTGAACTACTGAAAAACTGCATTTATTCTGTGATTGAGTCTCATAAAATTACATCAGGGAACGCTAACATGTAAGGCATTCCAACGTCATTAAGTAATAGCACGGCTTCAAGCTGAATTCTTGATCACTTCAGTAATTAAAAATCCGCTGTGATTCTTCACAGTTTTAGTTTTACAACAGTCAGCAGGCTTACATTTCTCTCCAGGGCAAATTCTTCCTAAAACTGAAGTGTAGTACATCTTGGGGCACAATCATCATTCTGCACAGTATTATTCATGTATCAGGGTATTCCTACTGTTAGGTTCAGACAGACCAGACAGTCTCTCTGTGTAAGCTTCAGAACATTCAGGGGTATATTTATGAACTAAAGTTGCTGATGGCCACAGTGCCTAATTCAAATAGTACGATATAGCCTTCTTAGAAAAACAGCACATTCACTGTGTTCAGCATGACTGAGTTTCACCCTCCTTAGTAGAAGCTTACTAAGTTTTTGCATGCTGGATATGAAAGGCGTTTTTTTCTTTCCTTCAATCTCCTTGTTTTCTTAACTGACTTGTAAAAAAGACCTTGGAAGAAGCACCTAGAGTCATTTTGTCTTAATATACAGCACACTTGTGTATTTGTACTGAATTCCAGAAGATTCATCTGTGTGACATCATTATTTAAGTCTTCAAGTGTAAGGTCCTATTAATACAGTATTTATTACTAGAGATTTGTTCCTACAGGCATTGTGTTCCTCAATGCTTCTCAAATACACTGGAACCAACAAGCACAATGTATTTGTGACAATCAGAAGCAGAGAGCTATTATAAAGTGTTGGAAGCTGCTTTGTGTTCCTCTGTCACTGTATGTTAAAGAAACTTCTTACAATCTTGACAAAATTAGGTTTGATTTAGTAGAAAGCACAATTTGTATATCTTTTGAGACTAATTCTTTCTGCCAGACTAGATGGAAGATAGAGCACTCATGGACCATTTATACTGTTTCCAGCAGACATCACAGTGTCCCAAGCACTATACAAACACAAGGAGATATAACACACTAAAAGTTTTTAAAATTAAAAAAAAAAAGATACACAATAAAGGGGAAAAGGATACAAAATACAAGTAAAAGTCTGGCCAAATCCTGACCAAAGATTATGTTTTAACTCCTTCCTGTACCCGCAGCCACATTCCCCACATCCTTTTTATCATTTCACTGGCAGAAACGCATTGATCTTCAGGACAGAAAGGACAGTCAAAGGTATCCTGGATAACGCAGTACAAGAATTTGATACAAACTCGTTTCTTAAAACAAGGAAGTAAGTGTTTACCCACAATAACAAAGCTTCTGCCAAAGGCAGGCTGATACCTTTGCTCCTAATGACAGAGAGGCAAGGAAAGGTCATGTTAAAAGCTGTTTCTGCTTGGTCATGCTCATGCTAAAAAATTATGAAAAGATATTTAAAAAGAGATCCAGGAGAGGAGGCAGTTTAAGGACAGATATTTAAATCTTCAATCTACTGTAAACATAGTAACTGAAGGCATTTTATTACATAAGAACTAACCAGGAAAGGAGTAAAACAATGAAGAGGAAAGAAAGCAGCCAGGAATAATTACCGGTGAAAGAATGGCCAGACAGGAAGGTGAAAAACAGAAATTAACATCTCTGTGCTTACATCTCTGAAAACATGCTTTGTAATCAGCAACAATACAATCAGTTTTATACATTCATGGACTAGAACTGAAATTTGACAGCAAAGACATCCTGTCACCGATTGTCAATTGCAATGTCATAAAAAGAAATAAGTCTATTGTGCCTTGCTGCAACAACAAACAATTAAACATACCTGGATGAAAGGGATTCCCCAATGAAGACTTCATTGAGCGCTCTCACTGGTAAAAGATGTGGACCAGAAACATCGGATCCTGCAGATATTGAACATAACAGTTTTGAATCACGGCTCCAAAACGCAAATTTTCAAAAAGAATTCACAACTCATTGGAGGACACACTCTGCTGTCTGGGTTTGTATTCTAGACCTAGTGTTCCGTTTTCTTCAAGGACTCAATTTTTCACTGATTTGGTCTGTAGCCAGTCACTGTCCTTTACTAGAGACTATAAATATTTGAACCAAGGTCAAAGAGGTAATGATACTTATGTTCAGACCTTGCTTTCCCTGAAAACTCATGGGCACCAGACAGATTGAAGTCTTCTCTTCTATCAGTCACTCTTCCAGCCTAGTTAAATTTACTTACAGTGACTTAACAGACATTTCTGATAAAGTTCAAAGAATTAAACTTTATACCACTGGGTAACTAAGAGGGATTAACAAATTGTTCATGTTGACTAAGGACTTCTCAATGAGGAAATGCAGTGCCAGACACAGTTCAAGGATAGAATCATGCATCCTCAATCCATCATAAAGAAAACAGTCGAAAGTGTCCGATGACCAAAGAATTACCCAGTGAGAGATTCTCACCTCTAGTTTCTCATTTGCTTGCTGGCAGTATGTGACCAGCTTTTTCAATTCTGAAGTAACCTACCTCAAATTTAGCACAAATTCAGAGCGCGCACACACACTCTTTTAGTGTGGAGCAGTTAAGTGCACAGTCAAATATTCATGTGGTAATCCCCAAGTGTCTACAGTAACCCTAAGAGACATCATTTAAAAAAGGTAAAGGTATTTCGCCAGCAGATAATACTATTTAAAAACATCCTTAGATTAACCGTTAATACCGAAAACTGGTTCTAAGTGTACAGTTGAGAACAAACATATATAAATAAAATATACTCCCTTCTAAAATACCTTAATCTGGGTCTTCAGCTAATGAGAGCTGTCTCCCCCTGCCTCTCAAATACAGCAACTAGACTTCAAATACTTCAACTCTTGCACATCTTTATCTCCTATTCCAACTTATCACAGCAAAGTGATAATATTTTTGTCAGATTTTAACCTACTTTGATCCTGGAATCTTTCATTTATGTGAGCCCTGCTGTGTTGCTCTTGGCTTAGCTGCTGCTCATGTAAATCTACAGGAGTTGGGTTAATACCAGTTCCTTCAAGATACAGTCGGATTCTTTGCCGCCACTGCCACCTTAGAGAGGAGAAAGAAGTTGGTATCAGTAGCTGAAATATCCATTACGGAATTAGACAGGATCAGAGAGTCTTCACTCTCAAAGCAGAGCATTTTAAGGTTGAAAGTTAAATATATTCAAAGTCACATTTCAAGTTTTATAGCTTCCACTATCATTTCTAAAGTTGCAAAGCTAATCATACTAAAATGTAAATACTTTCCACTTACCAATTTGCTACCTAATGTTTTTTGTATGCGTGCAGTAAGACAACACTGGCCAAAAGTAGTCCACAAACATTATAGATAACAACACAACTTTTTAGGCATGTGATCCTAACTTACAAATTCATGACTGATGCAATGCCTTTGAGAACAACAAGCTCTCAGGAATTTATACAGCAATACATGCGGTATTTTTACCATCTTTCATCTGTATTTGGAGATGTCCAGAAAAGCAGCTCTATCCACCCCTTTTTACAAAAGGGCCACAAGTATCCTCTCATTTTAAGAATCTCTCCTAGCCTAGGAACTTTAGGATGCCTAAGAGGAATTCAAATGAAGAAAGAGAAAGATGTAAAATGCATTCTTCCTCATCTGTTACAACATTCAATTTTTTTTTTCCTACACGAGGTACCAAATCCTTTTTCCTCTTACAATTTAGAGCTTATATAAAACAAAACAGCAGTTTTGATTAAGAAAGCAAATCACAAGAGAGTGTTATGAGTGCACATTTTCCCAGTTCATACTATTGATATCCATTGACAGTAACTAGTTTACATTTCTTGAAATTACAGCAAAGAAGATTTACACTTTATATGACTACAGTACTAGTATTATCTCGTTGTGTCCTGGTTTTAGCTGGGACAGAGTTAGCTCTTTCTTTTTAGCAGCTAGAAGAGCTTCGTGTTTTGGTTTTACTCAGAGGCTCGCTCTGAGAAGAATGTTGATAGCAAGTTGATGTTTGTAGTTGGCCAAGGACTTTTCAGTGTGCCGTGTTCTGGCTGGAGTGCAGAAGCACGGCAGAATAAGGAGGGAGCATAGCCAGGACAAGGGGGCCACAATTCCCCTTGTGATTTGTGGTGGAAGTTAAGATTGAGGGCCAAACTGGCCAATTAGTATTCCATATCATGCAGCATCATGCCCAGTATAAGGGTGAGGAACAGCCGGACAGAAGGGCTTTTTGCGCTTTGGCTCTTTCACCACTTCTGCTCTTTTGCGCTTGCTGCGCTTTTGCTCTATTGCCTGTTTTTTCTCTCTCTCCCAGTACTCCCACTCTCAGAGTACTCTCTCTCTCTCTCCCCCTCTCTATTTCAGGGCCTCGTGTTCGTCTGGGATTGCAGCTTCGGGACGAGACGGGCTTCACATATGAGGGGGTGGTGAGCATCTACACTGTGTATTAAATCATCTGTATTAAACTGTTCTTATCTCAACCCACGGGTTTCCCGTTTCTCCTTTAATTCTCTCCCTCATCTCTGGGGCTGGGCGAGGGTAAAGTCAACGACTGGGGGGGGAGGGGGAGGCGGTTTGGTTGCCAGAGCAGCCTAGCCCACGACACGTTGTCATCCTTGTAGAGCTTCATTCAACACATGCTTAGTATAATTACCTATCTGTCCTTAAATTCTAAGTATGGTTTTAGGTAGTCAGGCAGACAGCACACAGTGCGTATCATAATGCTAGCCTCCTTACAATACTCAAGCTAGAAAATGTCAAAATTAGAAAATGAGACTGTTATTCCTATTAATACCCCTATTCTGAGATCCTATTACACCGACCATCAAAAAAAGAAATATGGGTAGTCTAATATAGTTTGTCCTTTATAAATCAAATATGTTGATTGTTTCATGGGACCATGAGGTAAGTGCTTACACAGATTGTTGCACTGAAGTGGCTGATGCTTCAAGGATAAGGAGAAAAGACAAACTTCCTTCTGCAGGCTCCTTATACAACACTAAGCCACCAGAAGCTTTTCCAGAGGGGCTGATCCAGTTACTCACGTATTTTAAAGTTTCCTTAGGGCAAAATAAATCTGAGAACTGCAAAGTGAAATACTCACTCAGGATCTTTCTTAGGAATATCAGTTCTTACTATTCTGGAAAAATAACCAGGGAGATCGTTTCTGTTTCACTCTAGTGAGGCTTCAGCTCCATAATGAGCAACAACAGGAGTGTCAGCAACAAAAACGTATCACAGCAGCCAACAAAACATTAGAATTGTCTAGATTATCAAGGGAGGTTACCGGCATTAGCACTACCAGCTTTATCTAAGCAACTTAGCATGATAGAGAGTTAAAAGACTCTGTTTTCTAGGTCTCAGAATATGTGAGTTGAAAGTACTTTTTCATTTAGCAATACCTATTGAAACCCCTCCAGTTACTTATAATCATTCCTCATGACTGTATTCACCTCATTTCAGAACTTTTCTATGGTACAAGTACAGTTAAACTTCAAGCTACAAATTAAATATGCTAGAAGTATAAACAAAAGCCAATTGCAATATATTTTCACGTGAATGACATTTCTGTTTGAAGGTTTGCCATCATAAAAGTATTCTGGAATGTTAATACACCACAGAACAATGTCTATTTTTTAATAGTTATTAAAAAAACTCTTCCATATTCTGTCCCTTAAAATTCAACTTGCTTCCTTCCTAATTCAAGTGAGATTCTTCTATTTCAAGAATATCTAATATAGAAAACAACAAGCTATCTTCAGCATAAAAAAATGCTTTGCCTTACACTAATCTGTTAACAAAATTTAAGCCACTTCTTTAATCACCAAAACCCCAGATGCAACACACCGATCATTTCCTAACTGTACAGGCTTCATTAGCTTTATGGCACATCACTGTACTACAAATACTTTCGAGTGTCGAAATATGTAAACCAATACACCCTTTACAAGAATGCAGTTCCTCATTTATGAATCTGCTTAAGTCAGAAAAGCAAATCAGTTACTGATGGTCGTAACAAAAGTCTTTTTGCTGGAACTGGCAGCCAATTTCATCCTTTGTATTCCAATCTCACCCTTGACCACAAACCCATTTTTCAACATGGTAAATATTTACACAGAATTCACGATTTGAGGCATTAAGATTTTACTAAGGATTGTCTGCTCCTTAGGAATTGTACATCGTCAAGTATTTTCCAGTCATAACATGTTTTGGAAAGCCAAAGATCAGTGAATCCTACCTGAACTCACCACGATAAAGCTTCTGTAGTGCTTCAGGAAACGAGTGCGTGTATCTCACAGGCAAGCATAAGTGGCCCTCTGATCTGGCAGCAAAAATGGACAATGAAAATGACAGTTTAACTATAAGATTTGGTATCTTTAAAAACAAAACAAACACCTCTGTTACATAAAGCAAAGCTACACTTTGACCTTTATGAACCTGAACTATTCTTATATAATAGCACATCAGCAACAAAAGACACCTTTCAGCTCCTGAGGTGTATGTATGTGAGACATAGGATATTTCTCCCATATTTCCCCTAAAAATTGGCTGTTCAGCTAGCAATCCTGCAGGAATATGTAGGTACAAATATAGTTCCTGTCACCATAGTTCTAGGCAAGCAGTTCAAGCTTAATAAACTTTGCAAGTTAGAAAGAAAATTTCCTCCATTTATACACAACTTAGTGATACGAGACAGGTAAGCAACATGTCTATGATCAACGGAATTTCTAGTGAAAGCCAAAAGACTAAACACTGCTCCCCTTTCACGAGTGATACTTGATAACTTGAAGGCACTTGTTATTTGAACCCTGCTATTCAGGCGTGATAGTGTAGAGTATCTATTCACAGCATCTGAAAAGTTTTGAAAGAGGAGTAAGGTATGGAAGAAATTAAAACTTTTGGCAACTGCTTTCTTATCTACTACAATTCAATTAACTGGTAGTATCACAAAAGCAAAAACCTAAATCTGGAAATCTCAGCAGACAGATCAGTGAATTCTGAGTTTTACTTGCCATTCATTTGAAGGTTATACCAACCAGGCAGTACTAATACACTGCATCCACCTGCCCAAATCAATCTTATGGCTAGGTGGATGCAACTTACGTGGAGTTTATAATAGGACAACTAAATGCCATTAACTGGCTGAGGAGACTGCGTCCTCTGAGGTACGACATGGTTTACACAAAGAAACTGGAACAAACATCTTCACATGATGCCCTATTGGATTTCCAATAGGATTCACCTTCTCCATAAAGAAACCAAGTTTCTCTGTGTTCAGGCACCACACTTAGTTGCTTTTGTTTAGTCTCTTTTCCCATCTCTGTTCTACACCACCATCTCTAGCCTCAAGCTTCTGGTTAGTAATACACGTTAACTAGCTGCAAGTTTTGTTACACTGATGTGTGAATACATCTGTGGTAGTTTAACACAGTCATGCTCATCCAATACTACTTAACGTCCTTTCAGGTGAGACAGGATAAATCCTTGTGAAAACTTTTCTAGTAAAACAACAGATTCACTTGATATCTACAATCCACTATCTACAATCCACTAAACCAGACATTTATGAGGCCAGATGCTAATGGCATGCTTCACGCATCATGAAAACAGATGCATACTGTGCCTGATATTAAATAAAGCACTGCTTTCCCAAATGTGTGTTTACCTTTCAGGATCAGTATTTACTCCAATAACTGGTTTAAATTTATCAAAGACCTTACTGGCTGCCAACAACATTGTACCATCGCCTACAGAAAAAATAAAACAAAAGTTAGTTTCACTTCACATTCCAGTATCCCAAACAAAAGAGCCTCAAATGTACCACAGCGTTATCACTACGTGCTTTTATATCAACAACCGAGCAGGTAACCTGCACAAAAATAAAACGGGTCCACAAAACTACTGACACCTTTCAAAACAGAGTAGTGACAATGGAATTCAGAATAAAATGGCAAACATGATTGGAAAAAGTAAAACTTATCTGACAGCTATACATGCCCAGGCAACTGAATTCATAGGAGTCCGAAAAGAGATTCATGGAAATTTCTGTATGTTTATCAGCTGGTAAGAGAATACTTTAAGAAAATAAATTTGAAGAGTATTGCTAATCAAAGCCACAAGAGACAGGAAACAACACCAAATTTTACTATGAATCACATGAAAACAACGACTATAGTTCCATCTCAGTTGTTCTCCTAGAAGGCATAATTTAAAGGTCTCACTTGGCCCCAAGTAGGCATGTTTGGAAAAGAAGTCTTAGATAAAACTGTTGAAGCAGAAATCTTGAAGTGTCATTGGTTTCTTCAGATATTAATATTCCTTCCTGTCTGTTAAATGGAAGGACAACTATAACCTGAATCAGTCTTTGCACCAAGATATAAGCTCTGAAAACCTCAGGTGATGTATTACTTCCCAGCTGCTGCCTCATAACATGACAAATGCTCCCACAGCCAAACTGGCACTTCAGTCTCCAGCTCTGAGGAGTTCTTTGAAATCTACAGGAGTATATTAGGATGCTTCAGGAATGTACAGATATCCTTTTCTACCCATTCTGCATGGTAACTAGTAGCTAAGGGCAAGGTGGACCAGTGAGGAGGAAAGAAAGGCAGAGCAGTAGCCAAGCAACTGCCACAGATGATGGAACGTTACATCAGAGCTCACAACACATTGCAGTATTTGCAGCAAATCACAAAATAACACTGAATGAACTGCTGTGATTCAATGTTAGAAAGAAACAATCAGGTTAGTTGCTCATCAGCTTTTCAGGCTGCTCAAAAGTTGCATACTTTTACCTGTAGCATCCAACCAGACATTCCAGTCACTGGAATTAAGTGCAAAAGCAGGAAAGACATTTGAGTAAGGGGAGGAAAAGGTAGTATGTTAATCTCCACCTCACATACCAAAAACCAAAGGGTTTAGGGCTATGTATAATCACATGACAGCAAGCATTTTGTTCTCTTTAGTTGAAAAGTATAGTAAATTGCACAGTTTATACTGTTTTACACAAGACAATTAAACATTTCCAAAGTAGCCATGCACTGGGATTCGCTTTCTAGTGCCACTATTTTAGATACTAGAGATAGAGAGGATGGTCACAACCATTGCATTTTGTCCTGTTTTCTGACAATTAGATAAGCAATTTGCTTTCAAAATGTGCATACATCCAGATGCTTTACACACTGCAAAATATTTTTGAAAAATTATCTATGAAAACATACTGAAACAAATACTTCCCTTCCGTAAAGTCGTACCTCCTGCTGATATAACAGCATCTGCCCACCGAACTGTCTCTTCATTGTATTCTCGACGTTTAACAAGACGAACTTCTATCTTCTCATTCCTATAAAGTGCAGAAAAGACTGAATATGTCCCATGTTTTTCCTTGTCCTATCCTTCTGAAAAACTGGCATGTAATTAAAGACTGATTACAGCAGTATTCAGCTTACAAGCATTTGAAACTCACACAAACCCTTTATATATTTTTCATTTGTTTTCAGGATAATGCAGTCTTAGTTAACTGAACTACTTCAGGTTATGATTGTCTCAGAAACGACTGTTCATCCGCATCACCCTGTTTTCAGTGTTGCTATTTTATTAGAGCTTGTAACACAAAGCTTCCTTTTGTTGTTTTACACAACTCATGGATATTTGCACCGTGCCTGAAATTCTCAACATCCACACATTCTTACCGTAAACTGTCCACAACATGTTCCACGTTTTTCGTATGAATGCGATGCCGCTCCAGCAGACCAGCATAGTTAGACCCCTTCAAAGCAAGCTGTAAGACATAAATTGATTTTGTAGAAGTTAATCACTACAGTAAATGTTCTTGAGTAATAGAAAGAGAAGCTATAAAAAAAAAGCATATATTTTATCTCAGTAGAGACACATGCTTTTCTAAGCATTACATTAACTACATCTCTATATACATCCCAGTCAGCTTACATTGACTAGTTCATTAAGTGGGTTACATGGCCACAGCAGCCAAGAATCACAGACCTTGTAAGGGCTCTACAGAAATATGCAAACAAGTATGCTACACTGATTTCTATACCACTTCGGATACATTACTTTTCCTGAATCTCCTAAGTAATTTAAACTCTAGGCAAATCTACATAAAAGAGTTATACTAACTATACTTGTCATGTGCTAAAAGCACCCAGACAAACAGCTAATTGCCTTAAAAGTTATAAACATTGTGCTATAGAGAAAGAGGACAACACAAAAAGTAACAGAAATTATAATTAAGAATACAGGGAGTCTTTGAAATATCTAGCACATTAACCTTCACATTGTACTTGAGCTAAAATGGAAGACTGCCAAGTGTCGACAAAGGTGACAATTCCTCTGCCTCAAAAAAAGCTTAAGGACAATCTACCTACTCCCTTTGATACTGTCCTCTGGATTATACACCAGATCCTTCGAATTCACATCCATAACAAGACAAACAGTATTTAGCGGTTGCATTCTAGCACCACTCTCCTCAGAAGCCAAAGAATTTAAATACTTAAATCTTGACACACTCTTTAGACGATGGAAACTTTCTGCAGTTCATACAGGCAGACTCTTATGAGCAGGCAGGTGAGACTGCTGGCTAAAGATTAGATTTATTTTTTTTTTTTTGCAACAGGTTTCTGTGCAAGTAATTCAGTCACCATCTGTATGCATTCATTCTTCACCTCACTTAACAATGCTCATCTGGGGCTGGTACTGCCAAATATGTGTTTTCATGGAGATTAAGCAAGTAGGAGAAAGAGGGTAAAAAGGATGTTAAGCAAAAGGAGTTTATAAATACATTCATAACAAAAGTCATCCTGCTTTGAGCATCTAGACTAGATGACCTCCTGAGGCTTCTTCTAGACTGAACTATTCTACAATTACACTGTCATTGCTTCCTTTCCCTGAATAGTTAAAACCAGTTTATCAGCACAGAAACAGAACTTCTCCTAGAGTTTGTGTAGAGAAATTCATCTGTGCCAGGAGCTTTTAGCAGGCACTTCCAGCAATTTATTCAAGTGCCTTTACTCAAAGTTGCACACGCTTCCAAGAGAGAGTGGTGCCAGCCAGCCACATCTGATCCCATTTCCATAGAGACTCCCACACTACAGAACTCCACAGTAAAGGGGAGAGGACTTCCAGAATATGACAATTACGGTTAACTGCAATCCAATCCCAACAAATGCAATTTTTCTTCATCTGACACCCATTGATGTCAAGAAATCCAACCATGAGCTAAGTACAAAGACAGACTTGGCGCTGAAGAAATTAGAGCGAAGAATGGAACTGCATCACTGTCCTGCTCAATGTATTCACAATCAGCAATCAACTTGCAGAAACGAAATCTTCAGATGATCCTACAGCTCAGATCGGGAAACTACCTCCAACAGAGGGGCTCCTAGACTTTGCCTGGATGCCGCCAAAGGCAGAGAGCGGAGTAACAGGCAGCTGTGCTTGGTCACACACACATATAGGCATGTGGGTGATAAGAAAACACCCAGACAAAGCTCTCAGGTCATCTTTACAAAGCTTGTTAGGACTGGTTTACTGGGGTATGGAGTGTTATGTTCCATTAATGGCCCACACACTTGAACCCTTTGTTTCTAATTCCCCAGCTACAAGGCTTGCACACCCCCGTACACCTCTTGGTCCTCCAGAACCCACAGTGTTGCACTGGGAATTTGAACATGACACTGTGCTGCTGTGAGGAGGGAAGGAGGACACAAGGCTATGGCCAGTTACAGCACTGCCCATTGCTGGGTCTGCTGTCAGCCTCTCGTGATCCATTTGCAGCAGAATGGAGAAAGCCGGAAGGAGAAAAGACGGTAGTATTCACTTCCCATAGCCAACATCTGCTGCTGAGCACCTCAGGTCTGGTGAAAGAGGGATTTTTCCACCACCTCTTTGGTGGAAGAGGGATTTTTCAATTGCACATTTGAAGCACAAATTGACCTTGCTTTACCACCAGAAAGAACAGAAAACCCACAGCAAACAACCTCAAAAAAGTCAACTGTGTTACTAAAATCCGGGTTCCCACTCACGCCTCCTCTAGAAACCTCTGCTGCGAATGAAACACAAGCACCTGACAAGCAGACTGCTGCTGCAGCACACGTTTTTCAGGCTGCTATTTCCACAGGCTATTGCTTCCACACAAAACAGAAGCTGAAAACTCCATCTTGCAGTTTTATGTACCTCATTTATTTGGCTAATTTATCAGCATGCTACCTTTCAGCTTGGCCAAAGAGCACTTTTAACTCAGAACAATGACAGTGTAATGAATCTCTGCATGATCATTTTCAGGCTTCTGAGCCACCAACATCAGTGGTGAGCCTACAGCTAACATTTCACCAGCATTACTCACAAGAAGAGGTACGGGTAGTGACACTGCTGCAGAACAGAGTCTGTTCTGTAACTCACACTTGCCTTAGGTGGGTTAAATTATTTCATCAACAGCTTCAGAAAGCAGAAGAGAATGCTCAGCAAGTAAGCTGCCAGTATCCTGATGACTGAAAAATTTCCATGGGTACTTCTACTCTTGCTAAGAGCAGCACAGGTATCTAATGTGCAGAGGACTCCTCTGAATGTAGCTCTAGAATAAGTACCAGGTATTACTAAGCAACAAGATAAATAAAAAGTTAGGGCCTTGAATTTTAAATGGCTAAGCTACATCTACGGAGTTAATGAACTGTCCTACTTCGCAAAAGGCTCCAGAAATTAAAACAGGCTGCTCGTCTCTAGCCTCATCCCTTTAGCTCAGAAATAAACAACTCACAAGGTCATTCATCTAAGAACTCACAAAGAGACAGCCTGCCTGAGCCTAACCACAGTCAAGTATATCACATAGGAATGCTAATCATCAGCTGCTTTTCACGTGTCTACTCCAAAGAACCAGAGAAGTGTCTACAGTCCTTGTGGTCAGAAGCCACAGAACCACAGAGTGGTTGAGGTGGGAAGGGACCTCTGCAAGTCATCTGGTTCAACCCTCCTGCTCAAGCAGGGCCACCTAGAGCTGCTTGCCCAAGACCATGACCACATGACTTTAGAAGATCTTCACAGATGGAATCTCCACCACCTCTCTGGGCAACCTGTCCCTGTGCTCAGTCACGCTCACAGTGAAAAAGTGTCTCCCAATATACAGACAGACCTTCCTGTATTCCAGTTTGTGCCCACTGCCTCTGGTCCTGCCTCGTATCCAGAAGCTCAACACCATACTAAAACTACGACAAATGCTGCTTCTCAAAAGAGCTCTGCACTGAGGATAAAAAAAAAATAAGATAAACTGAGACCACCACCTCCTTTTTACTTTAAAAAAGCTGAAGGCAAAGATCAACAGTCCAGTTGCTGCGTGCACGATCACCTCCCCAAAGAGCCTGGAAGGAACTTGTGACACACAAAAAGCCCCAGACTGCAGGACAGCCTGGCTCCCAAGCCCACTGACCAGACAGGCCCACAAACCCATGTCAGGCTTGGGTCTTACCAACCAAATCTCTCAAACAGGCCCGTAGGTTTTAGCTGCTGCATGACGACAACTTGCAAATTCTTCTTCCTGCAGAGGAAGCTCTGATTTACAATTGTTGCAGTCATCTTTCCAAAGGGAAAGGGTTTGACAGGCTACTTTCCACCTTCAACATCAGAGAGTAAGTCTGCCAGTCTTACTGAGCAGGTACCTTTATACCAAGTATTGACATTCTTGGCTAAAATGTGAAAAAACTATTATGACAGACCCATGATGAGTTTATTTGGTATTTCAAGCTGTATGGAGTAGCAGTTTGATCTAAGTATCAAGTCTACCTAAAGAAATATGGAGTTACACCAAACATGCAACAACATTTACGTAAGTGATTTTGTATAAGGTAGTTTCCTCAGGTTTTCTTTTATAAAATCCTCACTGAGACTTAAATGAAGTAAAGCAACAGAGTTCTGATGTTTTACAGGAAAAAGTTCTCATCCAAAGTTATCTCTCTACTTCATTTCACCACTAACCTTTTTATGAAAAGTCATTTCCTTCCACAGAATACACAGCTACATTTGGCCCATGGAACTGCAGAGAATCTTATAAAACTGAAAAAGGCCCAAACTAAGTGTCACAGGGTAATAGCATATACTCCTGCAAAACTTACCCATACTGACACAGAAAACCTAAAAAAAAAAAATCACAAAGAATGTTAAGAAGCCTGCCAGTACACTACAAGGAGTATACTGCAAAACACAAAACATTTAAACTTAGTGAAATTCTTCCAGAAACTGCCAGACTACAGACTGACTTTCTCGACATGAGCTAGAAAATAAAAATGCTATCCGTACAGAGCTCAGGAACTTCAAACTAGAGTACACTTGGCATTTCTTGGTGTTAAAGTTGTAAAAGCCTACGTGAGGGGCCACACACAGGTCTGGAGCCCTGCACTGCACGTTAAATAATTTCTTCCAGTGGTTATCTGGAAAGATCAGTAAGAGCAAAGGAAACTGAAAGTACTGATGAATAAATGTTATCAGCTAATGGTCTATAAACACACGGGAAACATGGCATTTGCTAAGGCTCCCGGAACAGGAAAAAATAAGGCTAGAACGTACAGGAAATGTCACACCAGGCTAGTCAGCTACAGGGGGCATTAGTGGAAGTACCCAAAAGCAGAAGTATTCCTGGAGAGTAGGAAGAAACAGCAAATACAACTGTAGGCCTATTAATCTGACCTCAAGAGCACGCAAGACAGTAAAATAAAACGTATGAATATACATGAGAGCTATTCTAGCTAAAAGTGCATTGGCGTACGAAAA